TTGAGATCTCTAGGATATCTCTGCAGTAGATTAATATATTAAAAATAAAATCAACAAATTGGGGTTGTCTAGAGAGGTGCTGTCCACCCATAATATGAAGGAGAGTGGATAGAGTTGAGGACTTCATACTAGTGCAGATGCAGTGCTTAAACTGTTACAGCCTCAAATAATTTCCTGGCAAGAAACTATTGGGCTAAAAAAAATTTGTCTAAATTTTCCCAGCATCTAACTAACTTACTACTACCGAGAACAGAAATATTGTGGTGAACCGATTGCATGTTCTTATACTACAGCTTTATGTCATGCATATCTTATTTGCTCTGCGCTGTGGAGAGTATATTTTGCATTCTATAAATTAGTCATAATTACCATGTGACCGGCTTATTTTTTGACACGTTGCAAAAATACTTTTTAGGCACTTCTTGGCTCTGACCAAATATACCAGCATTAACTGCATACACCTGTTTAATGCTGAATGGTGATATGCAGTCTTTTCACAGGTTTTGCCTCTTCTGTGACATGCAAATCCTTCTGCAGGCTCTACAGAGATTGGTGAATTGAATTATTGACATTTGGAAATGTTCACAGGCTTACGGGGTCATGCAGAAAATATGTTTGGATAAATATTGTAGACACCCAACAGTTATTTTATGTCCCCTGTCAGCTTAAAGCGCCATGAACAGTTCCCTTGTTTAAACCCTTTTTAAAACCCTGCAAGAACAGAAAAATATTGATTGTTTGTCCAGAAATGCACCATAGTTCCTGTGTAAGTCCTGCCCAGTTGTCTTTTGGTAATTTTACAGAATCTCCCCTCATCTCCACAAAATAGAAGGGGATTGCTTTGTTGTCAGGGATAAGATCAGGGAGGGCTGATGAGACTCCTTAAAGGAGAACTATGAGGTGAGTTATTTTCACTTAGCCTCATAGTTCTAGCCGACCTTACGCTAGTTTGTGTCCTCCCGTTACCCTTAGAAGAACTATAGGGAAAATCCCTGACCCCATAGTTCTCCTTTTAATCTAGTTCAGTATTTGCAGGTACCTATAGTTATTGCACTTTATTTCTATCAGCAGATTTTATTTATTTTATTATATATTTTATAATATATTTTATTTATTATGTTGCTAATGCCTGCCAGATATAGTCTACCTGACCTTTGGGTGACGGGAGGACGCTAGTTTGTGTCCTCCCGTTACCCTTAGGAGAACTGTGGGGAAAAGCCCTAACTCTATAGATCTCCTTTAAATTAATACAGGCAGAGCTCACATGAGAGCTTTGCATTTTTTACAGATTCAAGAGGTGTTTTTTTATTTTTTTGCGTTTTATAGAACAGATATAACAAAATGGTATATTTAGTGGCCTAAAAGGAAGCAAAAAAGAAAAGTTAATTATTAGGGTTTGCATTTAGCTTACAGTATAGTTCCACTTTTGCAGCAAAATAGGGATAACTGCTACGTTTGTATATGTATGTATATGTGTTGCATGTTCACATAACTTGAGAAAAATATAAAAAAATTGCTGCTTATGTTTTTAATTGCTGTAAAATCTTATTTAGCTTTCCCCTTCTATGTAATGTTAATGCGGGGCTGGGGAGTAATGAATACCATAATGAACCCTGTGTGTACTGCGCAGATCTCTATTATCAGTTGTAAAGAACTATCTGGGTTAAGGATCTCAAGGCGTAAGTGGTACATTGTGTGTTTAATACATTCCTTAACAAATATCCCTCGTTTTGTCCCTCACTTTGTCCTTGACACATTGCCAACTATTGTAAACAATGGAAGCTGCCTACAGTGTCATATATAGACACCTGCTCCAAGCAAACAACTAGAAATATGAGAATTTAATTCAAAAAAACTTTTTTTGTAGGTTTGCTGTATAAATGGGAACACATAGCAACCATGTAGTGGGGGTGTTTCTCAAATTTGACTGCAAAGGTGAAAATAAACTTTAAACTCCAGCCATTTTTTTTTTATTTTTTATTTTGGATCCAGTCTCAAATATAAAACAAAAACATAAATGTAGAAATGTGTGGGTCCCCCGACATCTATATCAGACCCTTATCCTAGATTGGTGTGTATTTTTAGGGGGACCCCATGAAAAAAAAGAAAGGAAAATGGCAGGGAGTTTCCTCCTTCCCATCAGAAGATTCCCATCAGTCCCTACTTCACACCACAGTCCTACCTTCTAAAACTTCACGACAGTGCAGCTGAATGCTGGGGGTGGTTCTGGATACCGCCAACTCTGAATTAACAACAGCGTGGAAATGCATGACATTGTACAAAACCTTGATAGCTCCCCTAACAAAGCTTGAAGCCCCCCCCCTCCCAGTGTGCCACGGCACCCTGGTTGAGAAAGGTTGGGTTAGAACTATCTGTCTGGATTACAACCACTCCTCCTGTTATTTTCTTGCTGTTATACTGTAGGGACTAAAATAAGGGAAAATCTCCCAAATGGGATCACAGAGCAACACAATTTTGGCAGAATTTTTTTACGTTTTCCCTCTCTATTCAAAATTGGAAAAAAAATAAAAATAGGACTGCTATAAATTTAATGGGCATAAAAATGGATTTTCTAGGCTATAAAATGCTTTCTTAATGTATATAAAAATCTGGACTTACTCTTATGAAAACCCTAGAGCACTCTCTGGGATTTACACGTTACAAGCGCTGCTCTACATTTCTGTCTTTACAAGAGTCTGCTCACTGTGGCAGGATTAATATAACCTCTAGCTTTTCTAGAGAATTCTGAACCCAATATACTGTGTGCAATTTTCTGTTTGCATGTTATTTTCCTAACAATTTTTCTTGTCGGCTATCCGCTATG